AGAGTCACAGTTACGTAGAGGGAATTTCTTTTTCTTCTATTGAACGACCCTAAAAACACACACACACAACAGAATTTGCTGATTCCATCTGGGGAGAGTCACAACACCACAAATTTCTCCTCCCACTGTCAACCACACCACTGTGAATTTCTCTTCTTCTGACTTGAGAATATTTTTGGGTTTGGCTGTCACTTTTCACCTTCACTAACATTGCTCTGACGTAGATGAAGACAGCCTTAAGAACTGCAACTCTGCAAAGCTCATTTAGATACACTGGAGTCTTCCAGCCCCTCTGCCTGGGGAAATAAAGCTAATGAGAAATATTCACATTAGACATTTATATACTTTCTTATCTATCTACTTACATCAAGCTAAATAACCCCACTGCATGTGGCTTGTTTTGAGAGGGGAAATTTGACTGTAATCATAAGACATCCACAGTTTTCCATGCAAATGAGACATCACCAGCAACAGCCACTTCTCCTCTACTTTCAGCAAGGACCAGGTATTTTTAGACACTTGAATAATGAATTTGTGGATTAGTAAAACTCATCTACAGCTGCCTGATGATGAGGTTTTTTTTTTTTTCTTTTCTATATTTATAGACCTCCCAAATGAGCATAAACATGAAAGAGTGATTCCACCAGCCAAGAGGAAAGCTGGCTGCGACACTACACTCAGCAACATCTTTAGGGGCGTGTTTGGTCTGCATGTGCTTTGCCATCTTTGTGTCACTTTGTGGAACAATCCTTTGGATCATATTTCATATATTATGTCGATACAACCCAGCACCTGCAAGAATGGCTGGTAGGATGATGGACTGTAGGGGCCCCTGCCTCACTCCCTGTGGGCTGCTGGGGCCACCCTGAATCCCATTCCCACAGCTGGGGGCTCTCCAAAAGGCCCTGGGAGCAGGTAGGGCTATTTCCACCTCAGAGGCTCCCAGCACTTCTCTGGGTGTTTCAGAGAAGGGCAGGAACACGTCCCAAGGGCAAGGAGCAGCTTTCACTGTTGCTGAGTGTATTCCCTAAAGCAAACCACCTTGGGAACTCCCGTTTGTTCAGGGCTCCTCAGCAGCCTGTGCACAGTGAGATAAAACCTCTGCAGAAAGGCCCCTGATGAAGACTCGGTTCAGCCAAGCACAACCTCCTTGTGCAAATTCTCCAGAAAGAGGAGCACACCAGGCCCTGCTGGGCAGCTTTTTGTCTCAAAGATGCAAGCCCCAGGTGCCCATGGGCCCTTCTGCAGGGTCTGTGTATTTATGCCCAGCAGATACAGAGATCCTTTCACCCCAACACTGATGCAGCCGTACCAGCCCACAAACGATCTCTTCTTCCACATGGACAGCTCTCCACAGGGAAGAGCACAGCAGCTCCTCCTCCATGCCCTCTCCAGCCCAGGGGCTGTGCTGCTGGCAGCAGGGCTCCTTCTGCATGGCCTGGGCTCGCACGGCTGGGCATGGGGCTGGATCATTTCACCCACAGCAACAGGATGAGCTTGAAATCACAGACAAGGGCTAACCTTGGGGCTTAAAAGCCTAGTAGGAATGCACAAAATCACACAGGGGTAAGGTTGGAAAAGACCACTGGAGGTCATCTAGTCCAACCTCCCTGCCCTACATGAAAGGCAAGAGAGGTTTGTGAAAAAAAGCACCATCCTTTCTGACTGACCTGCTGTGTCTGGAAGGAAAGCTCTCCACCCACAAACCTTCTGCTCATGTTCCAGAGCACAGGTCTGACTGCACCACTGGGACATCCCTGGTCCTGAGAGCAAGGAGCCTGACAACTGGTTAGTTCTTACTTGGAATAAATAGCTAGATAGCTGCTAATTTCAAACAAAAAAAATATTAAATAACTGCTAGAGAACCCCAAGATTCATGCTGGATATTTTATCAATGATGCTTAGTCTTTCAAGCCATGTTTTACAGGCTGGAGATAAAGGTACATGACTGTTTGCTGCAGGTTACATTTGGGGTTATTCTCCTAAATCTGCCAAATAAGTTAATAATATAAAATCTAATCTTCTAAATAATTCAAAAATAATTAAGAGATTAAGCCATTCTGTATGTGTTGCCTCACAAATACTATCATTGTTCCACACTTCAGTTTCAAGGCAACCATTTAAATGCAAGTGTCCCATAAAAGTCGTAAAAAATCCATATCAGAGGGATCAAAACTGGAGAAAATTTACCGTTTCTTACATAGATTAGTTCTGAAAGGAGAGAAAGGATGAACCCATCTTGCTTCCACAGAATTACCAAACTTCTGATTAGTGCTACAGTTTGGCTGGCAGATGAGCAGAGGGTAAACAAGTGCTCCTTAGACAGCTCCTGGTGTGCACAGCCGGGCTGTCAGGTGCAGATGTCTGCAGGGCACGGCTGGTGGGTGCTGTGGGCACACGAGCACAGCACCCACACACCCAAACCAGTGCTCCTGCACTGCCATCACAAATGCTGCAAAAAGTTACCACGAAAACCACTCTAAAAGAAGAGTCTTGGAACACCATTTATAGATGCTGTATTTGTTTCAGCACCATCATGTTTTTCACTCTAAATTTCTATGTTTTTTCCCAGATTAGGACTGGCACACACCAGCATTCAGTAGGGAAGAAAGACATAAGGTTTCAACTGGAAAATTTCTCAAAGCTTTCTAGTATTTCTCATAAGATTAAAAAAATATTTAAAAAGCTTTTATTTCAAGTTCTGACAAAACCAGACATAATCTTCTAACGATACTGAAGAGTGATGTGAAACCGAGGAGATAATATGAATACCTCCACTTCAGCTCTGTATTGGGATATTAATTACATTTTTTCCTTCTCTGAAAACACCTTGCTATGCATGTAGAGAGAAAGTGGTTTTGTACTTTGTAAGGGTGCCTGCAGCTGCTTCAGCATACATGGACTCATACCCAGTATCTCTTCAATAGCTGCTGAAGGGCTGCTCTGACAAAATCCTCTCCCTCTATATTAATTTCTGCTGAAAGTATTCCCCATCAGATAATTTTCCTCTGTGCTCCTGAGCTTGCTATAGTTCTACACACAGCAGCTGAGCTACGACAGCTTTGCCATCTCTGCTTTTAAGAGACAGCAATAGCCTTTTCTCTATGATTTATCCCAAAGAGATACCCAAAAACTTGCAGTGTTTACGACAATGTATATAGACAAGGTGATCCAAAACACTGTGCTTAACTGCGTTAGGGAGCTGTAAGGAAATTAATGCTATCCATAGCCTGGCTATTGCTTTTGCTAAAATGGCACTCCAAACTGACACTGGTTTTAGAATGATCATTTTTCTCTTAAGTATCATAAACATCATCTTGTTATATTTGCCCTATAAGCCACTCTGAAGACAAGGCTGTAGGATGTTTTTCCAGATTATTTTAAAAGTTTGTAATAATGCAGATCTTTGAACTGCCCTTGATTC